ACTTGTCTCAATCTGCAAGAAGGAAAAACGCACAGTGGAAATGGCCTTAACTATGGACTAAGGCAGAGGTTTTTAAACTGTGGTTGCCAACCTGGTGCCCAGAAATCTCCACTGCTGAAGACATGCCTCTTGATACTTGAGATGTATTATTTTCAGGACTCAGCTTGTGTGGTTTGTTTTTTTTTTGTAATTTTAAGTTGTTTTGCACTATTTTTAATATTGTGCTTTAATATCAATGAGGCTTTAAAAATTGTAATCCACCCTAGGACCTTAGAGTGAGGGGCGGGTAATAAATTCTAACAATAATAATATTAGCAATGACAACGATAGTGATAATAATTCCTCCTAGCATGGAAGAGTTGAGAGATTGGCTTCTAAGCTCTGCGTGAACACTGCTCTGTCCCCCTATACCCATGGGATAGGGGCAAAACCTAAACTTAGTGGCCTCAGATTATTATGGGACATGGCATCGCAGTACCGGCCCTAATAGCTGGGGAGCAGGTGGTAGCAACAGGGAAACAGGGTGTTTGTGTGACTTTCAATGGGGCCTAGCAACAAGGCCTGTGTGCGGGGGGAAACACGCCAGCCAGAAGGAGTGAACGTGTGGTGTGCTTCACTTTTTATCGTCCCCACTACATCGCAGTACCTCTCTCAAGAGTTCCAGGTTCGTGGCCCCTGTTTTGTAATTGCCTGTGGTCTGTCTCGGCGGCTAAAAAACTGTACTGCAACTTGCACACCCAACCAATTGGCACCCCCCCATGTCTTCCCCTGCAGTGTAGATGTCCTCCTTTCCCAGCTGCCCTTTCCATTCTCACCTTGCATCCTTCACAGGCGCTGACCCCATAGTGATAGCCAGAAGACTTATCCTGGCACACAAAGCAGGGCTTGTAGATTCGGGGCAGTGGGGGCGGTGAAGGGGGGCTGGGCACAATCTCTTCCGAGCTGGTACTCTGCGTTTCAATGGCTGCAGAAAAAAAGAGAAAGAGAAATCAGGTGAGCTTCTCAGGGCCTAAATACGCAAACAGAAGAGGCTGCCTTTGGGGTGAGGGGTGGGGAGTCTGCCTAGAACCTACATGATGAAATCACCCAACCAATTCACTTTCATAATGCCACTTATGGGCCTTGTGTTCATACATCACTTGTCTCCCCTATGTTTGAGGACTGAATGCTTGGCTGGAGCTGAATGTGTGAACCGTTTCCACGGAAAAAAACATTGCATGCAAGGTGATGTGAGGAGAAATGAAAGCTGTGTCCATGGCATTTGATCTGTGACATGGTCCATTCACACATTTGATCTGTGATGGGAAATAGACGCAAGACAAGGAAGGAGCAAGGGCATGTGCTCTTGAGACATTTGCGCACAAAAATATCTTACTTGGTTCTGCCTACTATTAACTGCCCTTAAAAAAAAAAAAAACCCTTCCAAATTCTCTGCAGGGATGCTAACGCAGGATGCAAGGAAGATTACATGCTAAAACAATTGCTGTTTGGTTATCAATTTGTATCCTTTGCACTGAATTTGGGGTTTTGTCTTGACTGAACTTAGAAATTTGGGGTGGGGTGGGCCCCCGCAAATCATGCAACGGCTGCTAATCAGAGGCAAATCCCAGTACAGTGGTACCTCGGGTTACATACGCTTCAGGTTACAGACTCCGCTAACCCAGAAATAGTACCTCAGGTTAAGAACTTCACTTCACGATGAGAACAGAAATCGTGCTGTGGCGGCACGGCGGCAGCGCAAGGCCCCATTAGCTAAAGTGGTGCTTCAGGTTAAGAACAGTTTCAGGTTAAGAACGGACCTCCGGAACGAATAAAGTTCTTAACCCGAGGTACCACTGTACAAATGTCAGCTGGCCTCCTGGGAAAACCATTCTGTGGTTTTAACAGCAGGACTGGAGCCTGAGCTGCCCCAGCGCTCTGTCCTGGAGGGATGCTGCTCAGCTGCTCATATCTTAGCAGGCAGATTCTGAAACCGTAAAGCCTTTACGTAAGATACCCTCCCAGAGAAACACTGAGAAGTGGGAACAGGACAGCCCAGTAGGGAAGAGTAACCCCAAACAGGGATGCCTGAAGGCCTGGAAGCTTTGGAAGCCGCCTCCAGCATGCTCTCCGCAAGGGTGGGATGGCACCGCAGCGATATGCGATTTGACATTTTCAGGCCAGAGAAATAAGATGTGGGATTGAGCCAGACACAGCCAATCCCAGGAGCTTTACATGCTTGGCACAGCAGCTCAACAGAACAGGGCGGGGTGGTGGGGAGGGGGAAAGGGAGGCAGCGCAGTAGTGACTTGACGCTGCTGGATTCCTGGATCCGGAAGGGAAGGGGTTTGCCTTCGGGAAGGACGATAAAACAATCTGGACACTTGTCTTAAAAACAACAACAACAAAACGTGCAATTTAATGCCAGAAACACACACACACACACACACACACACACACACACACACAGTGTTACTGTACAGACCAAAGTGCCTCTGTGCTTTCACAGAGTGCATATCTGCTTAACAACGGAGTTTAGCAAAATAACTGGGGTTCTTCTAGGGCAAAAGGGGTGTGAATAGTTGTTGCGTGGTTGCTCCAAGTTAATTAACACTGACTACAAGAGTGCAATCTTGTGTCTGTGATATGAGGCAGGGAATCCCCTATAAAGTATGTCACATTTCTCCGTGGGTGGGGAGAGATAACGCAGTTGCGACAAACGAGACCTTTGGTGCTGGTTAGAAATGGTGCAGAAGTGTGACGGAAGGTAGGAAAGGGTTTTTAGAAGACATTTAAAATGCAATATATCCTACAGATGATCCCTAGAGGAAGAAAAGCCTGGGAATCTGGACTCCTAGCCACCGATGCAGAAGGAAGCAGGTCTAGGCTGGTTGTAACAGGATGCAGCTAAAATCCTGGATATTATTCCCATCTGAGAGAAGGAAGCAGGGGTCTGAGATGGGTTACAGCAAATGGGATGGGAAGCCAAGATTCCGAGGGGCCAACTTGCAGGATTAGTTAAGGAGGGAGCTCCCTCCTGCCAAAAAACAGCAGAACAAGGTGAGCTTAATTTCACTGAATCAAAAATCTGTTGGCATAAAAAGCAGGCAAGCTCTGGAGTTATACAGATCCTTCAGCAGGCAAAATGAAAAAGGTGCCTAAAGGAAGCTGGGGACAGGAGGTGGCGAGACAGAGGTGCTGCTGGCCAGCAGGGAAGCTGATCTAAGGATGGGTATTTATCCTGTTCCGGATGGGATGATCCTCCTTCTCAAGAGTCTGGCACATGGTTTTGGGATTATCCTGTGCTCCTGGATGCTCAAGTGGTGGCTGTAGCCGGAAGTACTTTTGCACAGCTCGGGCAGGTGGGCCAGGCTGGTGTAGTGCATGGGTAGGCAAACTAAGGCCTGGGGGCCGGATCCAGCCCAATTGCCTTCTAATCCGGCCCACAGACGGTCCGGGAATCAGTGTGTTTTTACATGAGTAGAATGTGTCCTTTTATTTAAAATGCATCTCTGGGTTATTTGTGGAGCACAGGAATTCGTTCATATTTTTTCCCCAAATTATAGTCCGCCCCCCCCCACAAGGTCTGAGGGACAGTGGACCGGCCCCCTGCTGAAAAGGTTTGCTGACCCCTGGTAGTAGTTAAGAGCACTGGACCTGGGACTCAAATCTCTACTTAGTCATGAAGCTTCCTGAGTGACAGGACAGTCAGATTCTCTCTCTCTCTCCCACCCCCCCACCCGCCCCGCCTTCTCTCCCAGTTTAATGTAAACATGCCCTAAGTTTATGGAAGTGAAGGTGGGATAAAAATGCCTCAATTAAAAAAACAACCCCAAAACAAACCAACATCACAGCCCTTCCTGAAGAAGACAGCCACTATCACTCATGCTTTGGTCACATCTAAGGTTAGACTACATCTAAGGGATGTGGGTGGCGCTGTGGGTTAAACCACAGAGCCTAGGACTTGCCGATCAGAAGGTTGGCGGTTCGAATCCCCACAACGGGGTGAGCTTCCGTTGCTCGGTCCCTGCTCCTGCCAACCTAGCAGTTCGAAAGCACGTCAAAGTGCAAGTAGATAAATAGGTACCGCTCCAGCAGGAAGGTAAACGGCGTTTCCGTGCGCTGCTCTGGTTCGCCAGAAGCGGCTTAGTCATGCTGGCCACATGACCCGGAAGCTGTATGCCGGCTCCCTCGGCCAATAAAGCGAGATGAGCGCCGCAACCCCAGAGTTGGTCACGACTGGACCTAATGGTCAGGGGTCCCTTTACCTTTACCTTTAAGGTTAGACTAGTAAGCTCTACATGGAAGTATGTCTGGAAACTACAACTAGTGCCGAGTGCTTTTTCCTGAGGTCCACCATGTGGAAGCCATTGCTTTTCTTTGCACTACTCTGGCTCCCAGTTTGTTTCAAATTCCAAAGCAACTTGGACTTCTTGTTTCCAAAGGAGGTTGCTAGACCATTGAGATATTTGCAGGGTTTTTTGCTCCATGTCCTGCCATTGTACAAAGGACGACGAACCTTCTCCATGGTGGCTCCTAGGCTATGGAACCTCCTTCCCTTGGAAGGTCTGTTTACAGATTCTTCCCTCCACTCCTCCCAATGGATGTTGAAGGCCATCTTACCATCTGGAGTTTTACGAGGACAACTTGTGTTCATTGCACGAGGCCCCTGATTTCATCCTGCTTCTGTTTCTCTAAGATGTTATCAGGACTTACTATTATTTTCCCCCCTCTCTCGATAAGTCTTGTTTGTTAATTGGTGTTTTATTGTTTTATTTTGCACTTTTAACTTGCATGTGCAGCCTTGGGGCTGTCCTAGCTGGAAAGCAGCATAAAAACTAACTGTAATCCAACGTAACATGACGGCAGGCCCTGAGATGCACCCCCATCCGATCTGTTCAACTTGTGTGCCACAAAATGGAGCCACATGGAATCTTTTAAGGAAAATCTGACCTAGCAGAGAGGTGGACTCAAGAAGGAAACCTCCCTCCAAGCTTCTAGGCTCCAGTCCCATGAAATGCTCTGTGTGTGTGTGTGTGTGTGTGTGTATACGCAAGTGTGCGTGCGCGCGCGCACACACACGCACACACACACACACACAAGTTTACAGATCTCACCTCCACCCTGGCACAACCTTGTTCAAATGTTTTGGTTCCCACGACTCCTGGATTTAAGACTGCTCACCAGAGGGGGTGTGGTGGCATGTACAAGACATGGGGTCAAGACCAGCCGTCCTTCTCCAGAAGGGAGAAGGGGGCTATGATCTAGAGAAGAGTAGAGCGGAGGGAAGACTGGGAACCAAATGCTGGGTTCTTTTCTTTTTTCTTTTGCCACAGTTGTCAAAAGGCAAGGTGGGTCCGAGCAGCATGTCAATAAAAACAGACGAGAAGCTGTGGCCGTGCAAATGCGCGGACCTGCATGGGCACAGTCGCAAAACAAGGGCAGCAATGAAAAGAAACACAGCCTGCACATGTGCGATGCGTTTTCCGCTCCCCCAGGCATGAAAAGGTTAAGGCGCTTGGCTGCACACCCACAGCCCCTTTCCTGTAGGATGTCTGCCGATGTTTTTCTTCAAGCCGGAGTCCGGAGTAAACCAGTCAGACAGGATATTAAAAGGCCTGGCCCTGCGCAGGGTTAGCAGGCCTTCAGATGGGAAAGGCCTCCAGGCCAGTCCCCCAAGGATGGGTTTGATTAGCTCCCCCCTTCTTAACCACTTTTTAAAAAAAATAAAAAGCCCCATACACACACATACACACACACACACTCACAAACCTTGCAGGGAATAGAGCCAGGATGTGGCCTGCCAAACAAAAGGGCTGGCGCATGCCAGGAGATTAGACATGAAAGGGGTTTCGTTTGAGTGGGGCCTCTGCGCAGGAAGAGGCTCACAGCTGGGGAATGCACCCTGAGGACTTTGCACCAACTCACGGCTCATGACGTCCTCACCCTGATGGCCCCAAATGCAAGGTCTCACAAGGCCGATTCCCCCTCCCATCCCTACCCCAACATGCGCGTGCGCACACACACACACCCTAGTGTGGCCCAAAGCCAACCACAGGGGAGACACAGAGGCACATGGCTATCTGAGCAACTAATATGCTGGATTCTATTCCTAATTCTGAGAAAGGCTGAGAGCCCAGCAGGTTGGAGCCAGTGCTGAATTGCAAAAGGGAGAGACTGTCTCTCCTGGAAGCCCTTTACAGTGGACGCTCGGGTTGCGAACGTGATCTGTGCAGGAAGCACGTTCGCAACCCGCAGCGACGCGTCTGCGCAAACGTGGGTCGCAATTCGGCGCTTCTGCGCATGCGCAAAGCACGGTTTAACGCTTCTGCGCATGTGTCGAAACCCGAAAGTAACCTGTTCCGGTACTTCTGGGTTCGGCGCGGTGTGCCACCTGAAATTGCGCAACCCGAAGCGTCTGTAACCTGAGGTATGACTGTATTCATAATCCCAGATACATAGGGGACTGGTTGTGTTTAAGCCAGTGATGAGAAAGGGGCACTCTTCTCTACAGATGCTCAGAAACACCCTTTGTTATTTCATTTGTTCCACTGCTGAACATAAAACAGGTCTGAGACGAAGCCCTGACTCAAAATTGCTCATTTATCACAATTGTCATTATAGCTAGTGTAACCTGGATTCCTGGGTTGTTTCCTCAAATCTGCAAAGAGTCTGTTGGGTTGGGTTCATGAGTAAAACAAGGAACCAGGCAGGAAGCCAAGACAGGATTCTAACGAGGGCCAAGTAATACATTTAGCAGAATCAAATCATCAAGCTTTTCCTGGACCGTACAACTTCAGGTGGAAGTGTATGAGAGTGTGTGGGGTATATTAGAATGCTCACTCCCTGCACACAGAAAGACAGCACATCAGGGAACAGGGCAAGCTGAAACATACTTACTTCCCCTTTCATGCTTATTTTGTACATGTAAGGTTTCTAGTTTTGTTTGTTTTCTTTAGGATGCAATTACCTCATCTTCAGTCTGAAGTGGTACCGTCCAGGAAAAGATAGTTACCACATGAATATGCCTGAAGGTATAAATTAGCACTTAGTTGGAAGCAGGGGTTTGGGGCCTGCTTCTGACGTTGGGAAAGGGAGCTGGTTTGTTGAGAGGAGAGGGAGGGCTCTTTTCGGAGGGCAATGGAGTCTTAAGAAGAAGGGAAAAGCAGAACATTTTGGAGCAAAGGCGGCTATGCCATGTTTCTAGCTATGGAAAAATAAGAGTCGAGTCTAGGAAGATACAATGGAAGGGGAACATTTAAGCTCTGAGAGCCCTATTAATTTTCTCTCTCTCACACACAAAAAAATTCCAGCTACCCAGCTTTCTTAAACCTGGAGAACAAACCCAGGAAACCTGAAGGAAACACACAGCGACTGCATTCTGAGGTATTAACTGTCAGGACTTAAGATAGCTCAGTGTGGTGCTGATAATGCCAAGGTTGCAGGTTCGATCCCCGTAAGGGTCAGCTGCACCTTCCTGCATTGCAGGGGGTTGGACTAGATGATCCAATTCTTATGTTTCAAGGATGGCAACGGTTTAGATTTATTCCGTATAGCCCTATTCAGACATCAACCATTTCTAACCTTTAGCATTATTAGACCTCTTTGTTCTGCTTAGAAAAGTCAGTGGTGCCTCCAATTTCCTGTTCGGCCATGACACCTACTAATGTCTCTCAGCACACGACGCCTCTACATTTAAACAAGTTTAAGCACAGCCTGCCCTCGGTAGTCTCTTATGCAGCCAATATGGACTCCAACTCCCGGGATGGCCAATGGTGGTGGTGTTGATGGGAGTTGGAGTCCCAACATCATCTAAAGGTCCCTGTGCTGCTTTTTGCATCCTAGACCACTGGCCCTCAACTGGTGGGTTGAGACCCGCAACTGGGCCTTGCCACAACAGGACCACCACCAGCACACACTATGACAAATTAAGAAGTGGGTCCCCAGATGCACACATGGGGTTAAAAGGTGCATCCAGGGTCTGAGAATGTTGAAGGCTACTATCTGAAGTCACCAGGAATGTCTCCAATTTGAATATATATATATATATATATATATATATATATATGTATGTAATTTTAAAAGCTTTTGTTGTTGTTTAGTCGTCTTAGTCGTGTTCGACTCTCCGTGACCCCATGAACCAGAACGAACAAATTTTATTATTTTGGTCACAGACCAGTTCCAGCCCACATACAATATCAAGGAAGTCATAAAACACGATAGGGATACATTTGAATTTGCAATTAGGTATAACAGGGACAATACAGATATAGCAACAATTAAAAATATATATAAATTAAAACTTAGTCAGTAACATATAACCTAAAATTATCATTTAAAACCTTAATCATTATGATAGCACAGTTTGTTCCCTAAGTTTTATGGCAATTGCACAGAATTTGGCTGCCCTTAATATGGTCTCAGGATCCTTGTCCTTTTAGACATTGCCTTGGAAACAAGCTACACTTCTTCAAAGCAGGGGTCTGAATGAGGCCCTCTTTGCCTCTCCATCCCATCCTTGGGAGTTTCCCCAGACCACCCCCTTTACTGTGCTGAAACATCTCCTTGACCTGTGATAATAATGCCTCTTGCCTGACAGGAATGTAGCCTCCTGTACAAAGATAGAGGAGTCACATCTGTTGCCTCGAATGAGCTTCCCCACCCTTGCTTTATAACATCTGCATTCTGCCACAGGTCCTGCGCCAGTGCTACCAAGATAATTGTGAAACATTTTTAAACACTGCCAAGTTTTGTTTTTTCCTGCAGCTTTGTTTTTTTAAAATGGGATAATATATGGGATAATATATTTATTCAAAGCAATAAAAAAAAATATCCTGCAAGCTGTCATGTCCCTTCTACAGGAATGCACGATTATTCGCCTCTGTATGAAAGACAGTATGGTATAGTGGTTAGTGTGTCGGACCAGAGCCTGGGAGAGCGGGGTTCACATCCCCACTCAGCTATGAAGCTCACTGGGTGACCTTGGTCCAGTCACTGCCTGTAAGCCTAACCTACCTCACAGGGTTGTTGTGGGGATTAAATGGGGGGGGGGGCGACGACAACGACCCATGTATGCCACCTTGGAGGAAAAGGTGGGAAATAAATGCAAATAAATCATATGCTTTTACCTCAGCACTCTCCTGTTCTACAGAATGGTCCCAAGTCCCGCAAGAGTTTCATGGAAGAGACACTCTCATTCCTAGCAACTCCCTTTTGCTATGCAAGCTGACCATCATCTCACGGCCTACTATAAAGTTTCAGTTCATTTCAGGCTTTCGTAGAAAGTTTTGACGTCCTTCACTGTCAAGATATTTTGCCCCCAGTCACCCAGCTTGTCCTAAATCCCTTATTTGTCAAAATGGGGCAGTTGCCATAAGGGTTTGTGAGGGGGGTGGGACACCTCCTGCAAAGCAGGCCGAGGCACCAGAACAGGGAATGTACAGTTCACAATGGATTGTTCCCAGCCCCCCATCGCCTGGGGCAAAGACAAAAGGGAAAGCCAGTAGCTAGAACAACGAGATGACTGTTCCCCTTGCCAACAGGACGGCTGTCGGGTCACCCAATTATGCCCACGGAGGCGCAAATTAACTGCTCTCCGACATGCCCTTGCTGGGCCACAGCCAAGGGTGCCCACCTCCCACCCAAAGGCAGCAAACAGAGGTCGTATTCTTTGGTGAAAACTGCAGGTGCGGAGGGGAGGTCAGGGCTTCTGGAATCTCTCTCAAAAGACGGGGAGCACTGCTGCCCCCTTCCCCTGTCACAGCCCCCAGCAACCCCTCCCAATTTAGTCAGCAGAATATTTTCTTTGGGAGGGGGGGAAATGTTTGCAAGAAAACCTGTCACAATTCCCTAGGCCACACTGCAAAAAAAGAGAAAGCTGTTTCCACGAGTGCAGAGCCACTTTATTTAGGGTCAGAAAGCCCCCCCCCCATCTTTTCCAGCGTACTGCAGTGGGCGGGGGCCGTGGGGCAAGTACAGTGGTACCTCGGGTTACAGACGCTTCAGGTTACAGACGCTTCAGATTACAGACTCCACTAACCTAGAAATATTACCTCGGGTTAAGAACTTTGCTTCAGGATGAGAACAGAAATCATGCTCTGGTA